AGCGTGTTGCCAAGGCCCTGGGAAACCCTGCGGGGGGGGGGGGGGCTCTGTGGTTCGATGGATGTAACCCTCCAGTCCCCCCTCACTTTGTGCGAGGTTGGTGGTTGCTCTGTCCACTTGTCTCAGGGTGACATTCACCAGTTGTGCCTCTGCCATACTGCCTGTAGGTGGTTCCTTTGACCCGGAGTCGTGCAACGGTGTTGTTTGTGCGTGCTCCTGTTCACCCTCACTATTGCTCATGATCTAAGGCCGGCCACACACGTGCAGTTTTAACTGACAGTTATGACTGTTCAGTTATAACTGTCACAGTTCAAACTGACGTCAGTTAAAAATGAAATGCACACACACACACAGTTCAATCCCTCAGATTTACCATGGATTCCGAGGAGTACGATCTTGCCACTCTTGGTGTATTCTTTGTAATGCTACAAGCAAATAGAAAAAAGAAAACTAAGAAGCGTAAGCAGTGGTGCATAAAGTGGTTACTAAGGCGAAATCAATGTTCTGATATTAAATTGTTAAGGGAATTAAGTGAAGAACCAATTCATTTTCTCAATTATTTGCGCATGACTGAAACTGTACCAAAAGCTGCTTTCGCTGATTTCTCCTTTCATTAAAAAGAAAGATACAATAATGAGAAAAGCAATATCGCCGCTACCACTCACCGCTACCACCTGTAGAAATGAGAAGTTGAGAACTGTACAGTTACGAATCCCCACACACGCTCGGTTCAGTTACTCCTTTCAGTTAAAAATATGGAACATTGCATTTGTCGCAGTTTAACTGTACAGTTCTGTTGAACTGACGAAATGAGCAACTGAGATACCCACACACATGCAGTTTTAACTGACAGTTTTAACTGAACAGTTATAACTGTCAGTTAAAACTGCACGTGTGTGGCTGGCCTAAGGGTGCAGGCAGCAGCTGCATTGCATGCTAGACTCTGTTGCTGCAATGCAATGAGTTGGTCACTTCCCCGGGTGCCCCGAGACTGCCCTGTTTTGGTTTTCGGGACCTGGACTTTGGGGGTGGAAGTCGCTTCGTCTTAGTACCTTTTGCCTTTCTTTCCTTCTATTGTGCATCCAATCCCCCCCTTCCCCACATCCCTGGCTTCCGGCTTCGACCCATCAGCAGGTTCGGGGGCGGGGTGGGGGTCTAGTTGATGTTGAGACTCGGGCAGTTTTGGGGGTGTTCCCTTCCTGGATGGTGGCGGAGGTATTCGAGCCTGTTCCTTCTGCCAGTGTGTATGGGTCTGACTAGTGCCCCGCCCCCCTTCCTTAGTGTTTTTCGGCTACCCCGGCTTTTTCTTGAGAGGCTGGGGCTTTGGGGGACAGCTCGGCTCTGGGTCCTCGGTGTGAGGTTCCAGGGAAGGGGTTGACTTGAGGCCTTGGGCCCTGTTGGACCCCGCCTGGGTTTTTGTACCCTTGGAGCGGGGCTTGCTGTTACACTGAGTGGGGTTCTCTTTCGCTCCCTCCGCGTACGACCTGGATTTGGTGTCTACCCCTCCCTGGGTTTGGTTCCGTGTTCCCGTGGGTTCCTTGATCCGTCTTTCTGAAGGTTTTCGGCTTCCCGCATCCCTTCTCATGTGGTGCGGGTAGCCCTTGCAGCTTATCTCCTGCACGACCCAGATTATGCTTTCGTGTATGGATCTTTGTGTTGGTATTGGGTTTGTTATGAGTTCCGGAGTTGTCCTGGTTGGCAGACTGCTCGCACTTTTCATTGGAGGCTTGGCACACGTTCTGCTGGTCCCGCTCACGTGTATTGGGTGAGGTTCAGACGGCGTTGCAAGTCTTCCTTGGGGAAGTGACTTTGAGCGTCTCGATGCATATTGTTCGCCCCTGGCCTTCCGCAGGATGTTGGGGTGATGCAGCTTTATGTGTAGGTTCCTTCCCTTTCAGCTGCCTTGGTTGCGGAGTACTTGCATACACGTTGCCTGCACATTGCCTGCTGGCTTCGGCCCTGTGTTCTTCTACTGCCTTGAGTTGTCCTCGGATTGGCTTGAGGTGGATTTGGAGGTGCTTGGGGCCACCTCTGGGTCGCACCGCTCTGCATTGCCCTCGGCAGTGTATGCATCGTCTGTATTGTTGATATGTTTGGCCCTTTCACGGTTCGTACCCTTGACGGGGCGATGGAGGGGGGGGAGGCTTGTTCTGTTCACTCGCGCCTGGCCCCACAAATTGTGAGCCTTTCGGGTCGTTTTAAGTCGCCCTGCGGCGGCGTTGGGTGGCTCCTTCTCATTCGGGGGGTTCATGGCTGGTGGGGCGGGCCTCTTCTCCTGCGCTCTGTCAAGTCATCTTGGATGACTTGACAGAGCCCATCTTGGATGGGTTCACTTGAGCGTGGTCGAAACGACCTCGTCTCTCAGGTGGGTTTCCGCCAGTTTCTGGTCCCGAAACGGGCCTGCGTGGGCCTGCGTGGGCCTCCGGTTCATTCTGGACTTGTCACATCTGAACCCATGGGTTATTGCTCATCCTTTCGGATGACTACTTTGTCCCAGGTCCGTCTTCTGTTGGGCCTAGGCACTTGGATGGTGTCCTTGGACCTCAGGACACGTATTCACACATCATAGTGCGTCCGGGGTTCTAGGTCTGGCTCGGTTTTGTTGTGGGGCATCAAGGGTGCCGCCTTTGTTGCCTTTCATTTGGCTTGAATCTGGCACCTCGCGTTTTCACACGCCTTACCCGGGTCGTGGTGGCCCGTGTGCATCTGTTAGGTGTTCGGGTTCTAACCTACCTCGACGACGGGCTGGTTTGGGCTCCAGCCATTCCGCGTGTCTGCCTGCCAGGGATTTGGTTCTTTCCCAGCTCACAGGGTTCGAATTCCTAGAGACCTGGCGGATGTCCCATCTGGTTCCTTCGGAAACGTTCTTTCGGCCTATCGCAACTGCTGGGTTCGGCCTCCGGATGCTTTGCATCGGTTGCTGCATCGCCGGCTTCCTCTTGGGGCTTTCAGGGTTCTGTGCCATGATGCTTACCCGAGCCCTTGCTTGTTGTCTTCACTGCCGCGTTGTCTCCAGGCTGGGGCTTTGTGACCCATGCTCACCAGGCTGGCCAGGGACAGTGGGGTCGGTCCTTCCGTCGGGCTCACAGCACAGTGTAGGTGTTCGCAGCTGTGTGGATGTTGCTCCGGAGGATTCGGGTCACTTGCAGGTCGTCGAGCCAGTTTCTTTCAGACTGTTCCCAAGTGATTCTTTGCTTGATCCATGGGGGGTTCCGTGCAGTCCTTGGTTCTTTGGGACTAGTAATTTCGGGTGACTCGTCTGCTGAGTTCTCAGGGTTTGGCTCTCCTGGCAGTTCTGTTTGGGGGGTGTCCAAGGTTTTGGCTCGCTTGGAGACTTTCCAGGGAAGAGTTGTCCTTATGGCTCCTTGGTGGCCGGCCCAGCCTTGGTTTCCAGTGCTGCTTGCTCGGTGTCCAAACCCGAGGATCTTCCCACGGCTCCGCCTCTTTCTGCAGATCGGTCCAGCTTGGTACGTGGCTGGTTCATTCTTCTCAAGTCTTCGCATCTGGGGTTTTTGTCTCCAGTTTCTCGTCACTTATATGGGCGCAGGTGACTTCGTTGATGGTCTCCCACTTGCATGCTTCATCTCGGTGGCAGTATGATGTTCCTGGCAGTCTGTCCTGTTCCTATCACTGCGTAGGTGTACTTTGGTCTCTGATAGGGTTGTCTTGTTCTTCCTTTCGTGGTTGTTTCAGATCTCTCCTCTTGTGTCGGATACTGTCGTCTCGTATCGTGCGGAGCTGGCGGAGCCGCTCCAGCTTGCATTTGGTATTGATGTCACTTCTACTCCATTCCGCCAGCTGTCTCTTGCATTGTTTCGCCTTCGGCCTGCTCATGCGCCGCAGGTGTCATCCTAGTCGTTAGACCGGGTGGTCTCTTCTCTCTTCTCCTCGGTTTGTCGTGGCCCCTTCGGTTCAGGGTTCTTTTTCCTGTTGGCATTGGCCTCTGGGGGTTGGTTTGGAGATCTTCAGGCTCTCCTCCGGTACAGGAGTTTTTCTGCTTGTTTGGTTCAGGTGGTTGTTCTGTTCGTTTGCAGCACTCCTTTTTCCCTGGCGATGCATGAGTGCTACTTTCTGGAGGGATCCTTGGGTTGTTGATGCTTGGTTGATCGGGCCAGGGGTTGCATCATGTGTTGGGTTCGGTTGTGGCTCTCTGATGTTTTCTGCACATCTTGGCCTCTGTGGCCACTTTGGATTGCTTGGGTTCCCTTCCTTCTTTCCTGTTCCAGGGTTCGGGTCTCCCGGGTTGTCTGTAGGGTCTTTTGGTTTGCCAGTTGTCTTGTTTTTTGAGTTAGGGCGCGTGGTGTTCGCCTCTCGGGTCCTTCCTTCCTTTTCTAATCTTTGGTGAGGTAGCTCTGGGGAGCCAATGGGGCTCCCCCCAGAAAACCAGCATTGAATGTAATGAAACGCCATTTTCTGGGTGAGACCCGGAGGCTCCCCAGCATCCTTCCCTCCCTCCGATTGGTGGTGTTTTCGCATCTTTTTGACATCCAGCCTAAGAATTGCCAGTTGGATCACCAGCACGGAGGTCTGGGGCTCCCCCTTCCCTCTCCCAGGGAGGGGAAAAGGGGTTGCACAGACGGCGGCACGGCGACGTGATGACGTCATGCTAGTTTGCTAGTTTTCATTTGGGGAGTTCTGTCCACTTGTTCGGCTTTACGTAGCAATATTTTCACTAGAATAGGGGTTTGTTTTGGGGCATCTACCTTTTTGGGTGCCAGACCCGGTCAATGGCAGACATAGAATGCTTCCAACTACACAGAGGGGTTTCTGTAGGCCATTGCTCCTCGCGCCTCTCTGAGGGGGGCTAGGTTCTGGTTTGTGGTTCCCGGTAGGCAAGAACTCCATGCACTTTGATGCCAGAAAGCTAATAGTAACATATCAGCCAGGATAGCTGCGGGAAGCCTCCGGGTCTCGCCCAGAAAATGGTGTTTCATTACATTCAATGCTGTTTTTTCATGCTTAGTTGGTCAGGCCAGGGGTGCATTATGTGTTGTGTCCAGTTGCAGCTCTACGCCGTTACCTGCACGCCTCGACTTCTGTGGTTGTGGACGCGTTTTGGATTATCAGTTATCTCATCTTCGTGTTGAGGCATGTGGGGTGGCCGCCTCCTTGGTACGTCCCTATTTTACTCATCTTTGGGTATGTAGCTCCAGGAAGTCATAGGGGCTCCCCACAGGAAACCAGTGTTGAATGTAAAGAAACATCATTTTCTGTGTGAGCCCCAGAGGCTCCCTGGCACCCTCCCTCCTGTCAGCAGTTTTGTTTTAATGATGTTAAATGTTAATGTTAATGATGTTTAATGATGCGGCTGTCAGCCTCCAAACTGAGGAGCTGGGTAGCCGGCACGGGGGTCCGGGGCTCCCCTCTTCCCCCTTCTGTGGGGAGGGGGGGTGTAAGAAAGAGAGTGAGTGCTGTGAGTGTGAGGACAAGCGATAGCAGTGGTTAATGTTTGCTTGTTTTCCATGTTTTCTTTTGAGGAGTTCTGTTTCTCTGTTCAATCTTGAGTTTTTGCAGTTTCCTACCATGTGGGGCTTGTTTTGAGATGCCTAACCCCGGTCGATGGCAGACGGCGAATAACCACCCCCCATCCCCTAAAAATACAAGGGGGTTTCCCCTAGGCCATTGCTCCCTGCACTTCTCTGAGGAAGCCAGGTTCTGGCTCATGGTTCCCAGTAGGCAGAACTCCATTGACTGACATTCCAGACTAATATAGCATATATCAGTCCTATAGCTCCAGAGAGCCTCTGGGGCTCTCCCAAAAATGACGTTTCATTACATTGAGCGCTGGTTTTGTTAGTACTTGCCAGAGTCCAAATTCAAATAAAGCGTTATATTACATTTGTAGTAAAAAAAAAAATACCAAATATTAATATTTATTCCTTAATAAATATTTTTCAGGACTCAACTGTTAAGTGCTTCTGGAGGGACCATTGAGAACAGAGTCAAGTCTCGCGTTAGCTCGGTGCAGCGAGGAGGAGCGCACATGGAGTCCAATTTTGCTAGAAAGTAAATGATAAATTTACAAAGCATATTGTGAAGGCAATTAAAAAGATTATGAAAAAATGTTAATGTATGGTGTATATTATTTATTCTTGTACAGTGTTGCCAGAGGAGTGACCACAAGCAGCTCACCACCCACTGTTGCCACATAATGCTTGCATATTATTATTTTACTAACCAAGCCATTGAGAATTATATATATAATAAGTGTATTTTTGGAGATAATTTTCCAGGTAGTCATATGACTCAAGTGTTTGATATTGATTGTGTACATCATCTTCAGATTTGATCATCTGCAAGTAAAACAAATTTACATTATTTGTCTTCACATATGCAACAATTTTTATCATTTTAACCTTAACATTTCATGTGTTTATTTTATTACATTTTTATTTAGCATTGTGATGTAATGACAGAAAAGAGACTGTTGACATAGCTAATGTTGGTAGCAATAACGTTTAAATTCTGGCGTTTAAAAAGCTGTTTAGTCTTACAAAGAATGACTTCTTAACAACTCTTTCCTGTGCTTTATTAATTTATATTTACCTGCAGTAGTATCGGGCATTCAAGCACAGGTGTTGAGGGGTCAGCATCATATTAGGTTTATTTTCTGAAGGAAAGATTGTCATGAAGAGTAAACTGTCCAAGACTAAGTTAACCTGATACACTATGGTGTTCGAGGAATTCTATTTACACCCTGCTACATGGTCTTCCCGGCTTGGTGCTTTCTTTTGATAAATACTTGATTTTATTTACACCCATGTGAGTTATAGAACAGACAAGTAATTACCAAAGGAAGCCACTAAGTCTTATGGAACAAATAAACAAAATGTTTAACCCTAGGCAAGTTACTACGAATCTGTGCAACATTGTTACGTATATTAACACTTAGCTGGAAGGACTCTAGTATGGACAGTGATATGGCACCACATTTGGACGTGTCGAGTGTGTGTTGATCATGACACACTGAACAACTATAATTCACTGGTGTGCTTTTTAAAGTTTACAATAAATGTTATGATGAAGAATTTTTTTTTTTTTTTTAGTCTAACACATACTATTGAAAAAAACTGGTGTAAGATAGGAAATGCAATTTTCAGAACTAAAATGAGCTGCCTAAATTAAGTTATCCTTGTATCATGGACATGATGTGTACAGTTAGGCAGAAAAATGTTCTATGCACCAGATCACAATGATCTGGTGCAAGCGAGCAATGTCACCTCTCTCGCCTGTAGTTCTACAGGTGAGAGATCTGATCTGATCTGATCTCAAGATCTTTTCAAACGTTTTCACAGGGTCATTAAAGATGTTGGAGAATCAGTTGTTGTAAGTTATGTCCAGCCCACAATGATCGCTAGTGGCACATTCATGTAGATTTAAAGCCTCGCCAAATCTTTGCTTGGAATCACAACCCCCCTCCCTTTCTAGCCCGTTGTCGTCGTGTAGGGGCTTGGTGGGCGGCTGTCGGAGTGTGATGTTCCATAGGTTAGTCCTCTGTCCTTTTGAAGCCTTATGCTCCTGCTGCTGTCTTCACCAATTTTGCCAGATGTCTTTTCCTTTTCCTTGTGTTTCATTTTTCTTCCCCCCTCTTCTCCTTTCTAATTGTCATTTCCCGCCAACCTTTTGCCAGTCTTGATTATTCTTTCAGACTTCTTCTGTTTTGGTGCCCGGGTGTTTGGGGAGGCATACTCTCTCACTCGTAGAACTACAGGCGAGAGAGGTGACATTGCTCGCTTGTGACATTGTAGTACCCAATGTCACAAGCGAGGAGACGCTTTTATTGTCAATCCTTCTTTCGTCACTGAACCCAATCTCGACGGACTGACAGTTCTTAAGGTGGCGTTTGTGGAGAGTATACTCACGTCGCACCCCTAGGGGGCGTCGGCAAGACCTGCAACATGTCTCTTGTTGGGTGTCCTATCCTCTAATTATAGCTCCATGGTGGGTACAAGGGCACATTCGGGAATGAAAGTACTGTACAGTATTACCTCTCTTTTTCATGTCGCTGAATACTGTTCCTCATGACTTTTCAGGCTCGTGGGCTGGGCGACCAAGTCCCTGAGTCGGACTGTGTTGGAAGACCGGGCTCTGTAGCCCCGCTACATTGGGCCCGGATCTAGCTCCTCCTCTGACCCTCCTGACTACTCCTTTCGGCTCCCCTCCCTCCCTACTCTGTGGTTGGGTTGAGCTCCAAGCCCCCTGCTGTGACCACCTCGTCCCCTGGCACGGCTCAGTCTCTCATTGTGACTATTGCGCCTTTTAATTGCTCTCCCTCTGGGGGTTCTCAACGTCGTCCCCACCATGCCACACTCGCACGATCCCTTCCCATACTAATACGTACAACGTCTTGTTTGATCCTGCTTCGCGGGCTAAATACTTTGATCTCCTCCATCCGGATTCTTCTACACCTGACGATTTCTCCCTCTATAAACACCTTGTTGATTCGGTGGATGCCTCTTGTTACTTTTAACCCCACCAGTTTCGGTACGTGTCGTCGCTGCTCCTTCTCGAAATACAGCTACCCACTTAGCCGCATTGTCCTGCATTGGGGAGACTCATGTTTGGGTCTCCAAAAATGCTTGGTTAAATGCCAGTGTTGGGACTGTTCTCCTGCACCATGTTGCAACTGGTGTTCGGGACGTAAGAGACTGCCATGAGGATATTAAACTTACAGTATCCTCGAAACCCAAGGCCGTCCTGTCCTCCAGGTGGACACGTTCACTTGACCCCTTCGTGGTCGTCACCATCAGCCTCTTAGAGTTGTGAAAATCACCTTCGATAGTAGGACCCATCTACCCTCTTATCATTCTTGCTGGTGCCAGGTGCTCCGTTCAGGAGTACATTCCCTCTCCTAGACTTCGTAATAAGTGCTTGAAGTTTGGGCACGGTCCCCTCAAATGCTCAAGTCTTGTCTCTCTATGCCCCATGTGTGGGGGCAATGACCACTCTAAGACAGATTGCTCTTCTCCCCAGGCTCGCTGCCTCAATTGCGGTGAGGCCCACCCTACCTTCTCCCGCACATGTATACACTACAAGCTTGAGGAAGCCGTCCTCAATTTGAAACACCGGGATCGTTTTTTTCCTGAAGCGAGACGCTAAGTCCGCCATCTCCACCCTTTCACCGGCGTATCGTATGCTCGCGTGTTGCGTTCTACCTCTCCTCGTCCTTCCCACCTTCCTTAGTCACACAACAGTTTCCAGGCCTTGGACCCAGACATGCCCACCACCACCTCCCCTGTTCCCTTCCGTTCTGTCCCGAAGTGTCTCCATCTTGGTTCTCCATCTGGAGTTTCCCCCTTTCCTACCCAGTCCGCCATGTCTCCTGTATCTTCTTTCCCATCTTCCCCCGATCCTTCTTCCCAACCCTTTCCCCAGTCTCTTGGCCCTCCACGCCGCCTGTCTGTTCAGGCTGTTTTCCATCATCCTCCCAGCAATCTTCATGTTGTTTGCCCTTCGTTCTTCTTCTCCTCCTGTTGAGACCATTGAGTCTGTCGCCCAGTACGTTGTTGCTGGAGCACCTGTCTCTTTGAGTCAGAAACGTAAGCCTGGCTACTCTTCTTCCTCCTCCCAAGTGGGTAAGAAGGCATCGCTTTCTTCCTCGCCCCCCACCTCTGACTATCACTACGTCCCCTCCCATTTCGGTGATCGGGCCCCCTATCCCTGCTATGGAGGTTTCTTTAGCCCCCAATTCCCTCTCGGTTGCTGACCTTGTTGAGGTGCGCTCCCTGGTTTCTAACCCCCCCCCTCTCCTCCTCCTGTCCTTGACTGCCTCTCTCGGTTGTCTCTTCCTCCTCATCCGGACCCCGTCCGTCTGCCTCTGGTCTGTTCTCCCACTCCCTTCCCTCCATCCTTACCAAATTTACCCATACCCCCTAATCCTGATTTTGCTGACCCTGATCCTGAGCTTATTTAATTTAACACTATCGCTCGCTTTGGACACCGATCACGTCCATTTTTTTTCTCTTGAGTCTTAGCCGTGGACAGGACTCGCATCCACTACAAAAATATTTGTATAAAATTCATTTTTTATCTGATCGACCTCGGGATAGTTTCCAAATAAGCGACTTTAGAATGCGCTTAATTTGATACCAAAATGAACGATGTAACACGAAACTTGATGTCAGAACACTTGAAAGATTATAAATAGGTTTTTGGTCAAAATTTTAAAATATTTGTTAAAATTCTATTTATTATGGGACTAGTTTTAAAATGCGCGCCTTTATATTGTGAAAATTTGATACCAAAATGAGCGATGTAACATGAAAATTGATGTTATCAAACTGAACGAGTATACACATTAGGTTGTGGGGTGCAAATTGGTGCTCGTTCACGGGTAACTTTAGGCTTTGCTGCGGGGAGTCTCTCCAGGCTTTTGGACATTTTATGCATATACATCTGCAGGGAATTTAATTGCGAACGCAATGATGCCGAAACAAATGATGTAGCACGAGAATTAAGGTGAGAAAACTGAAACGAGTATATACATTTTACTGATTTTGTGTGCTCACAGGTAACTTTTCCGACTTTAGGCTTTGCTGTCGGGAGTCTCGCCAAGCTTTTGGACATTATATGCATATACATCTGCAGGGATGTTCGCAATTTAATTGCAAACGACGTAGCACAAGAATTAAGGTGAGAAAACTGAAACAAGTACAGTATACACATTTAGGCGTCGCCGCACGCTCGCCCGCACCATTAGCCCCATGACGTCAAAGTCTGCGGTGCGCGCGTGGCACAGGCGATAGTGTTAATATACTGTGTTCTTCTTTACCTTTGTTTCTTCATTGTTCTCTGTTGCTGTCCTTTCTCTTTTTGATAATGTCTATTCTTCAGTGGAATATTCGTGGATTTTATGCCAACTTCCATGAACTCCAACTTCTGATTACACAGTTTTCACCACTTTGTGTTTGTCTCCAGGAGTCAATGCTTGCTGCTCGACCTGGTCACTTTCGTGGTTATTCCTTTCTCTCCACCCCCCCATGACTACTGCTCTCTTGATTCTCTATGATATTCTCTTCGTCACCCTACTTTTTCCATCGCCTATCCATTGTTCTGCTGCCCATGTTTTTGTGAGTAAATGGTATACAGTCTGTTCCATTTATTTCCCCCAAATGTCCCGCTTTCCCTTCCTGATTTTAAGCACCTCCTGGACTCCTTGCCAGAGCCGATGCTCCTGTTGGGTGATTTCAACTGTCGACATACCCTCTGGGGTGATGTTATGACAAACACCCGAGGCCGCCTTAGGTCGTCCTCTCTTCTTCCCTTCCCTTCCAGGGAGCTGGTCGGGCGAGCGGACAGCACGCTGGACTTGTGATCCTGTGGTCCCGGGTTCGATCCCGGGCGCCAGCGAGAAACAATGGGCAGAGTTTCTTTTACCCTATGCCCCTGTTACCTAGCAGTAAAATAGGTACCTGGGTGTTAGTCAGCTGTCACGGGCTGCTTCCTGGGGGTGGAGGCCTGGTCGAAGACCGGGCCGCGGGGACACTAAAGCCCCGAAATCACTTCAAGATAACCCTGTCTCTTCTGAATTTTGGTGAGCCCACTTGTGTGGACTCTCGAACTCGCACCCTTTCCTGTCTTGATCTTTCTCTCTGCTCATCGTCCCTTTCCTTAGATTTCATGTGGTGGGTTCTTGATGACCTCCATAACAGTGACTATTTCCCCATCCTAGTTTCCTTTTTCTCTTTTCATCCTCCCCTCTCCTTCCCTAGGTGGCAGTTTGCCAAATCTGACTGGAACCTATTCACCCTCCGTGCTACTCTCTCTGACCTCTCCTCTCTGCCTCTTCCTCATGCCTCCTCCTTTTTCATGATACCATCTTTGACGCTGCCTTCCGCTCTATCCCTCGCTCTACCTCACGGGGTATGCAGAAGTGCGTTCCCTGGTGGAATGCGGACTGTGCTCAGGCTGTCCGCTGTAAGCGTACAGCGGACAAAAATGCTGAGGCCCTTACTTTCCCTGTAAGGCCTTAGTAAATACCTGAGGAGCATGTGTGGCACGTCACCACCCAGTGTGTGGACGTGCAGGC